TTGAGCTATTCTATTACGAATAGTTCTATTGAGAAATCGATGACTAGCTGGCACACTACAGTTTGATAACTACCATTAAGCATTAAAAATAGACAAAGTACACTAGAAACTTGATATTTGAGAAGAAAAAGCAGAACAACTTGAAATAACTGAAATCATGGTCTTTAAAGATACAGAAAATTATTCAATTAAGAGTAGTGTTAACTAATCTGAAAGAAAATGAATCACAAGAAGTGTATATATATAGTTACCGTTTCTTGTAGAACTAACATTATTAACAAAAATTTAAGTAATTCCAAGATCACTGTAGGAATGTTGAAATATATCAATGTAATTTATCTGATTTAAGATTCAAAAATTATTTAATAGCCCATTAACACTAGTTGATATTGGCTAGTTTTAAATGTAGACCTTTAGGTTTTTGTTATTAAAGCTAATATTAATCTCGTTAGGCATTTTCAAACAAACGAAATTGTTTTTTACTGGAATGAAATAACTAACTAGACTAGAATATTCTTCATTAATTTTCACTGTAGACATTTAAGGAATGTAAATAGGATGGGATTTCTTAGGATGAGTGAACAAAAGGAGGATTGTAAATGTTTTTTATGATGATTGACATAAATTTTTATTTTCAGCTTTGTGAAATAGAACATTTCCGTGTAAATCTTTGATTTTTTTAAAGAGTTTTCATTTGACGATATTAGAATTAATCTTAAATCGGTTAAGGAATGACTAAATCTTATTAAGATAAGAAAATGCATAAAACATCTAATATGAGAATATTTTTTGTTCATTCATTTGTTTATTTTAAAACCTTAGTAATATGTGTAAATCATAGATATTTGGTTTTTATTCTTTTTATCAGAAGGGGTTTTGTGAAGATCTTAGTAATTTTATAATTGAATTGAATCTAGACCACCATGGAAAACTTGGAAGCACTGGATTGGTGTTTTGTCCTAGTATGGAACATCTCAGCAGTGCGCATCCACAATTCTTTTGTCAAGAAAATTCTTAACAAATTAGAAATTTTACAAAAAAATAAGATTCACTACTGTAATAAATATTCAGTTTAGAAATGATTAATGGAATACTACAGTTTATAAATTGTTCTTATATTAATACATCTCAGTTTTGTAAGATAAATGTTAGCTTGACAATATTTATGGTGGATTTATAAACATAAAAATGATCGTATTCTGAATATTATCATCTTATAGTGAAATTTGAGATATAAGTTACGTTGGTTGAAATTTATCAGTAACTTATGTTGATATCACAGTGTTGATCTCAACTCTGATTACACTACTAATCTCCTTGAAAATGAAAGTGATATTTACTGAGCTGATTAAATACCTATTTGACGAGTTCTGAGTATAATATTCATTCTTGATTTGACTAGTAATCATTATCATAAAAAATGACTAAACTTTCAATGGGAGCCTGACAATATACCAGCCGAAGTACCAGGGTCAGACATACAAGTAACTGCAAACATGCTCCAAGTTCTATTCAGGAAAATTCTGGAGAAAGAACAAGTGCCACTGATAGATTGGAAAGAAGGATATATCATCAAGATACCAAAGAAAGGGGTCTGAGTAAGTGTGAGTACTCACTTGTATAGGCATCACACTACTATCGGTACCAGGAAAAGTTTTCATCAGAGTGTCAGTGAACCGGATGAAAGACTCAGTGGACATCCAACAAAGTGGATTTCATAAGGAATGGTCGTACACAAACCAAATCGTGACATTACTGATCATTGTTGAACAATCAGTTGAGTGGAATACGTCACTATACATCAACTTCTTTGATTATGAGAAAGCATTAGAAAGCGTGAAAAGAACATTGTGGAATCTTCTTTGATACTATGGTGTACCTGAGAAAATAGTCAACATCATCCGGAATCCATACGGTGAACTACACTGAAAAGCGGTACATGGATGACATCTGACAGACACATTTCAAGTGATGAACTGACCCAGACAAGGCTCCATACTCTCCTCTTTTCACTGTGTTTCTGGTATTTGGCTAGATTATGAATACCTCGATATCAGAGAGGAAGCACAGAATACAGTGAATAGCTTGGATGCAACTTGACGATTTGGGCTTCGCAGATGACATAACTGTTCTATCCCATACACACAAACAAATGGAGGTCAAGAAAACTAGTGTATCAGAAGCCTCTGCATCAATAGGCCTCAACGTACACAAAGGGGAAAAGAAAGATCCTTAAATACATTACAAAAACACCAATCTATTCACACTTTGTAGGGAAACTCTGGAACAAGCGGAATCTTTTACGTAACTATCTGGACAGCATAATCGATGAACGTATCAGGATCGGATGCAGACGTATACGTGATGATTGGCAAAGCAAGGGTCGCATTTCCTACAATTGAGGAACATGTGGAACTCAAATCAACTATCTGTCAACCAACACCAAAGTCAGAATTTTCAATGCGAACGTCAAGACAGTTCCACTATACGGAGCTGAAACTTGGAGAATTACTACAACCATCATCAAAAATGTACAAGTATTGATAAACAACTATCTTCACTTGATACTGAATGTCTGTTGGCTGGATATCATCGGTAACACCCTACTGTGGGAGAGAATAAACCAGCTTCCATCGGAGGAGGGAGTTAGGAAAAGACGTTGGAGTTTGTGGTTGAACATACATTATGGAAATCATCAAACTGAATCATTAGACTAGTGCTAACTTGTAATCCTGAAGGGAAACGGAAAGGATGAAGACCAAGGAACACAGTTCATCGAGAATTAGAAGCAGACATCAAAAGGATTAATAGCAAGTAAAAACAGCTAGAAAGTATTGTCCAGGACAGAGGTGGATGGAAATGCTGGTGGGAGGCTTATGTTCCTCCATGAGAGGTAACAAGCGTAAGTAAGTAAGCATTTAGGTCCTCGTCCAAGTGGTCAATACTCAGCGATTCTTTAAATTTAGTTTTGAAAATAAAAATAAAAAAATACAAGCCTTCATAATTGTTTATTTATGGTCAACGAACTGCTAATGTGAGAAATTCCATTAATATCCTCCATACGAATGTAAACATACATAAGTAAGCGGCAAACAATCGAGTGATTCAGGCTTTCACTTTACCTTGATTCTTTCTCTTAGAGTTGATTTTTCTTATGATAAAACATTTATCAAACAATAATTGAATACTAACAATTACTAGAATATTATTTTGATTTCTTTCTGACATTACTCAGCCGTGGGTATGTGTAATTTCATATGGAATCAGGGTAAAAACTATACGTATCAAAACTAGTATGATATCTTTAGACTTCTGATTAACAATTCAGCAGATGAAACTTTTCAGTTTAATTATCTCCTTGTCTGAATGTTTTGATACAGTCTCAAACTATCTTCATGACTTTTTTATAGCTATATCCAGTAATCTATGGGTTTTTTTTGCGATACAGAAAGTGTATTTACTGAAATCCAACAACCATCATTTCAAAAATCAATGTACTAATAAGTGGATTAATGAATTTTTTAAAAGAAATATCTCAATTTATAATATAAATAATAGATGTCAGTAATTGTTCTACAACTCCCTTTATTCAGTTTCATTCTTGTAACCATTGTTAAGGTTAATCATTTTGAAAGAAAATTTCATGTTTAGTCTACTTTTATAAGATTAATTGTCATGAAACTTTAAACTGAAGTATTTAAAAGAAAAGTCAGTTAATTTTATATAACGTTTATTAAGTAATTCAAACAATATAGTGAAAATTCCCATTTTGACATTTGTTAAATTAAAGAAAGAATTAATTGAGCGAAGAAATTTCTTTTCAATTATATATATATATATATATATACAATAATGAAATAATACTCATCCAGTAGATACGTTGCGCAATAATTACATAATGACATTTCGATCATAAATTAACATTGGGTAATTGAAAGAAAGAGGATTAATAATAATCAAAGTAATTGTTCGAAAATCAAGAAGCTGATACGTTGCATAATATATGAAGAAGAGAAGGAACAGAATATTTTGATGAATGGTCAGTAGAATAGTAGTTGTGTAAGAGTCAATAGATGAATGTTGAGAATATGTAAAATACAAAGTCCAAAAAACAAAAAGCAAAAACAAAATGGAAGAAGTACGAAAATAGTTTATCAATGTTCTGCTACAAACGCCCCTATATCTATGGCCAAGGTAGCGAAAGTGGTTGTACAAACTTCTTTTGAATGCAAAGGTTAGGTTTGTGAACATGGATTGGGATGACTTCAGTAATGTACTAAAGACACACTCGTAAACCGTGTGGCAAATTTGATGGTATATGGTAGATAACCTTGATGTGTGTCAACCAAGTGAGCGAGAATAGAACTCTTAATCACTCTTACCTATCCTTTGCTCAACCACGACGGATGGTGCTCTGTTATACGATGACGAACTTGTCGAATAGTACGTCCTATATAACTGGCTCCACAGGAGCAGTTGAATCGATAAATACACATGGATTCGGCGAATTCAGGCAATCTGCCTTTATTCGCCGTTCTTATTGTGGGATGGTTCTAGAAGATAGCATTTAGTCTGGGTGCATTAAATGGTTTCTGCACCACCTTCGTTAACCTGTGAGTTACAATCTCGTATCTACTCAACGAGTATTTTTTCATCATTGTATATATATATATATATATATATATATATATATATATATATATATATATATATATATATATATATATATATATATATATATATATATATAATCGTTCCTTCGTAATTCAAACAAGTATCATGTTCAAGTATTGTTTAAATGTATTTGATTTCATTTATACTAATACCCGTCAATATTAGAATGAATGGTTTGACAAAAATTGAGCGCCAAATATATACATTTGAAATAATCTCAGTGATTGAAATTTAAATAATTCTAACATTTCGTTTTCGTATATAATGGTTTAATTTCATTGTTCTATTATAAACTAAAATACATAATTTGTTTCTAGGTATTTACTATGAGAAGGGATAAAATTTACAATTTATCTAATATTTCAACAAATGATAATGATGATGATGACGATGATATTTCGTCTAGTTCGTATACAAATTCAATGGATAAAACATACTATAATAATTATTCTATTGTTGAATTAGTTAAAAATTATGATGGACTTCAAGGTAAGTTTTCTTTAGTAAATATTTAACGACTGAGCTCAATTTATAAATTTCCTATTTACATTAACTTAAAATTTATATGTTCTGTTCATTTCAGACTATTACATGTTATACGACAAATATATATATCGTATTGTGTCACTTCAGTGACTAGTTTTACTCCAATCCATGTCTAATTCACTGTAACTATTGTTATTAAATAACATTTTACAGTCATTGAAGTGCAATATTTCTATGGTGTTTTTGTCTTTTTTTTCTATCAAGTTTTTTATAGAACATATTGCGTCTACTAGAATAAATGATTCAATGGCCAACTGACAACTGACAGTTTCATTTTCATCATGAGATTTAAACTGTTCAACTTTCGATAAAAAAAATTAAAAAAACAACTTTCTGAATAATTATTCTAATTTTAACTCTGTATAACATATAAGCTTTCATAAGTCCCTTATGTTAATCATGTAAAGTAAAATTATTGATGTGAAGGTTACACAATTGAGGTGTAAAAAGAATATGTCCGTTTATTTTTTTTTGAATCTATTTTCCTTTATGGTGCTTTTCATGTTTACTTTCAAAAAGATATGCATAAACGAGTAATGTGTAAAAGTATCAAGGTTGAATAATGACGTTTCATTTAACTGTCATTAATAATATAATGACTAATAGTTATTATGGTTTTAAGATATGTTTCTGTCTATGGATAGAATTAAAGTTATAAGTTAAACATTGAAATTTCCATACAAGTTATTTGAATATCTTATAGATATTGTAATTAGAATTTTAGTGTATACGGCTTCGAGGATTCAGTTTGGTGTTTATTTAATTTAAACTAGTAATTCTGCTTCTTCATTATTAACTAAATAAACGGTATCTAACCGTATGGCTGTTTATACTAGTTTGAATAAAGTTCTGTAGTTAATCTTTTGTTAAAGGTTAGTTACCATGTGTTATGTAAATTGAAATTGACGTTTACAACATACGTGTAAAATTTGTGTAACTTTAGCTATTTTAGAGTCTTAACACTACTATCGGGACTTCTACTCTTTGTGCATTGATATAAAGTAGCATAACGAAACTTATCATTCTAAACAACTCAAGCTGCTTAGACAGTCTTTTGATTAAATTTAAAAGTAATATAAATATTAAAATTAAAACACGGATTTCAGCGAAGGGATCTCTTTTCAACGAATTTATTATCAAGCTGTACAATCGTATATATGTGAAAATTTTGTTTTTGTAAAAGTACTCATTCCGTGAGGAAATGTGAACACAGTTAATAAAAAGTTTATAATACTAGATTACGTAATATGAATAATAATAATAATAATAATAATAATAATAATAATAATCGATTTAGTGATTATAATAAGATGATTAAAATGTTTTTGTTATAATAATAATTAAAGGTCATATAGGTGTAAAAATAAATAAATATGGTGATATGATGAGTATTCACTAATAAAACAATGAGAATATAAGATATAAGTAAAGGGGAGAATGCAGTAATAATAATAATAATAATAATAATAATAATTGGATAATCAAAATACTTAAGGCCAAGGTAACGATAACGATAAGACGTACTTCTTTTGTACGCATAGTTCTGGTTTCAGCTCCTGGATGGTAAGAGCTTCGGCTATTTTTAAAAGTTGGATGCGATTGTACAGCTTGATAATAAATTCGTTGAAAAGAGATCCCTTCGCTGAAATTCGTGTTTTAATTTTAATGTTTAAATGAGAATTATCTGTCAATAATATAAGTATAACATTCGATAAATAATAAACAGGATCCTTTGAATTCAGTCAATAAATTTACGCCTAGGAATGGTTTACAACCAATTCAATAATTTTTTGTGCAAACAAAATGTGTGCATTTGGTCACACTGAACAATCATTTTAAAATATAATTGTTCTCATGAAGTTTATCTCCAGAGGTGATTTTTTTGTCTTCCAGTATAATTTACAACAATTAGTCAGTTTTCTAATATTACATTTTACCATACTCTGAGTCATTACTAAATCATATGAGTCTATGTTTGGATTATATTATCGGTAGCTGCGTTAATAAAAATTACCGAGTAATGTAACTAAAATTTTATAAATATTTTTTAACGAATATAAATGAACTTATGTTACAATTCACTTGGTATTGTTTACTTGAATCTTTCCATTGACGTTTAGGACTGCAATTGAACAGTCTATTATTTGCATATGTGCACACTGTGCGTATCGCCTTGATGTTGCCTTAATCCATAAGCATTATAAGCAAAGATGAATAATGGATAGCAGTAGAATCCACGACGCATTTTCTGTCTCATTTTGGACTCGTGAGCTGGATGTACCTGCATCTCAGAGTTGATGTTCACCCTGGGACTCGAACCCAATACCGTTCGCTTCGAACGCCATCGCGTTATCCCCAATCGGACGAAACGCGCGTCCTGGATTTCACTGCCAGCCACTGTCTATCTTTGCTTATAAACTTATATCCCATCTGAATTTATGATCGGTAATTCAGTTTCTTTTTGTAGAAAATAAATCTTAAAAAAATTGTTAACAAAATAGAAAAAAATCAAAATTATTTGATAGAACAAAGAGAGTAAAATTTTCGATTATAAACTAATTATTTAATGATTATTGATTAATTTCAAACAAAACTGTTAAATGATTTAATCTTAATCACCCAAATTAAAAGAACACTGAAATGATATTAGTTTATTACTGATTATTTTAGAATTGTCATTATTATATGTATGGATCATTCTTTTTAACACTTAAATGAAGTTGAATATTTTCAGCAAATAATTCAATGTTTATATCAATGGAATAAAACTTACTAGATTGAACTATCATATAAATATATTCCTTTATTTAAATCGAATTATTATTTACGATTCGATCTGTATTACTGTTCTTGTCTTGATGTCTGTTGTAAACCGCTAAAATTTCTAACAGTGTTATACAGTGAACATCTATGATAGACAGATAGAGAAGAATGTTTCCAGTAGTGATAGCTATAGTGGTAGAATTACTCAGATAAGTCATTTAGATCTCAACAAACGATAAGATCCATTGGTATGAAAAGAAACCAGCATTTTTTAAGGATTGAAAGTATACAAAGTATATGCGTTTTATTAAAAGATAACATCCAAAAACAATACCTTAGTGTTGTTCATTTACACAGAGTAGTTCTAAGCGGAAGTAGACAACTGTTCTTTATAAGTACGAATAAATCAATATCTTTACATTGGGTTTCTCTAAACAGCATGATGACTGGAGACTTCAGTGTTTTATCAATACTGATTATATAATGATACATATATTCACTTGTTCGAGCAGTAAATACAAAATCTACTTTACGGATAAATATATTTGTCTACGAAGTGTTCTCATGTTTTAAAAAAATATTTAGACTTTTATAAGCAAAGATGGATAGGGGCTAGCAGTGAAATCCAGGACGCGCGTTTCCTTCTATATGGGACCCGTGAGCTGGATGTACCTACATCTCAGAGTTGATGTTCACTCTGGGACAATACCAAGTGAATCATTTAGATTTTTGTAAATATTATTGGTTTCTTTCTAACCTCTAATTGACAGATTGATGAAAAACAAAACAACAAGAAATTTTATAATGATAGTAAGGAATTTTTTCGTAGATTAATACTAAATATGTAACCACATCAATTTTATTTTCATATAATGGAATTTACAGTATTATACTTTTGATTCAAGCATATCATTTTATATCATATCCATAAATAAATTTACTTCAAATAAATAATTAAACCATTAGTCAACTCATTTCACATGTCAGTCAGTCAGTCTGTAACAACGTAGAACTTCGTACGTACGTACATCAGTTCGAGTTGCCACACCACATTAGCACAGAGATGCCGTGGTCGATTCAAATCCCGTAGTGGTAGAGGTAATAAGAGTATAAGAAGTAATCGGAAAGATTAGTGTTTGGAGATGTTACTTAAAGAGTATAATACAATGAAATAAACTTGGGAAGAAAAAAAAAGAGACAAGGGGGAATCAGGAGATCAAAATTTGAGAGAACACAAAGAGTGGATGCACCTGCGCTATTGCAAACGATTTTGAGCCATGCCATTCAAGGTCTCTAACCATCGGTTGCTATCATCTCGCGGTCCCCAACCAGGTAGTCTACACCTACCGACATGACTCAGTCCACTTGTCAATGACTTCATGGACTTGTGCCATGTTTTGGTCTGGCCGCCCCTAGCTTTCTTCCAATCTACTCCTATACCACTGAACATCACACGTCGAGGTAGTCGGTCGTTGGGCATACGTAACACGTGTCCCAGCCATCTCAACTGATGAAGTTTCACCACTTCATCAATTGATTTGCCATCCTTACCTAGTACCCATTTCCTAACAACTGCATTACTTACTCGATGGTCCCAGGATATACGAGCAATGTTTCGAAGACACCTATGATCGAATACTAGTAGTCTACGAATATCCTCTACTCTTACCGGTCATGTTTCACTTCCATAAAGCAGGACGGAACAAACTGCTGCGCAGTAAACCCGTCCTTTGGTTGATAGACGGATATCTCGCCTACGCCATAAATGACGCAAGTTAGCAAAAGCTAGTCGAGCCTTCTGTATCCGTGCTGAGATTTCGTCACACACCAAACCACAAGGGCTGATGAGACTTCCAAGATAAGTGAAGCGGTCGACACACTCAACTACTTCACTTCCTATCATTAGTTCGGGTGTCGATGTAACCCAATCCTGAAGCAACATTTTGCATTTCGAGGGAGAGAATCGCATCCCGAACATGCTTCCATTGTTGCTTAGAGTGGTCAGAAGACTCTGCATTTTGTCAGCGTCTTCGCCAAATAAAACTATGTCATCAGCATATTCTAAGTCAACAAGTGAACCTCCCGGTAGAAGTTCAACCCCTGTAAATTTAGATGAGGACAGGGTCATCTCTAAAATCACGTCAACGACAAAGTTAAACAAGAAAGGAGAGAGTGGACAGCCCTAACGAACACCACTTGAGGTAATCAATTCTGATGACAGTTCGCCATAAGCTCTCACTCAACCAGTTGTGTTCGAGTAGAGAGCCTGAATAAGGTTAATGTACTTGTTTGGTACTCCTTTCAGTGACAAACACTGCCATAGAACCTCGCGATCAACAGAGTCGAATGTCGCCTTAAGGTCAAGAAATACTACCATTGTGGGTCGTCTGTGTTCTAGAACCTGACGTAGTGTGAATATTTGGTCTATACAACCACGTCCAGGTCGAAAACCGTGTTTTTAGTTGTTGACTACATTCAACTATATTCATTTCTAA